AAATTTTGAACTGACGTGTTTCTCAATGTGAATATATCCTGACACATGCGGATTCGTACTCATAGATACGGATAAATTTTATATCTGTGTCTATTGATTGTTATTTGGATTTTCCGGCAGGGGGAACATTCTGAGGATGACGATTCAGAGAAAGAAAACAAATTGGATTTATTCGAATCTGAACTAGTCTGAATTAGACTCGAATCCGAGTTCGAATCAGCTTTTAAAATCAAATAGCATATGAATGTATAGGTAAGTGTTGGCTTCGTATTTAGTATATATTTAAGTAATAAACAATTAGCATCTATTAATTTACTTTTGTAATAATAGTTAAAGTAGTCATCTTAGCGTCTTCAATTCAAAACCAATTCAACCCAATTTGAGGTTAGTGAGAATTTCTCATTTCAGCGCGTTTCTTTTACATACTGAACGATGACGTCATTATCTGAGTCTGAAATACTCAGCTCACTTCGGACTTAGTTTCACTTGTGTGTAAATGGAAAGCAACTAATAAGATAGATAGGGTGTTAGAACAGGAGCGAGATATACGCATGTTTTGAATGGTGACGACTCGGTGTCGATGAGCTATTTACTTGCCATCCCGGAGAATACATTTAAATTAACGATGATTCCGGAATACATTGGTTCTAATAGCGTTCTTCTTATCGATTCATGGACTGAACATTGTCCCAATATTATTTCAGATTTAACACTTGCAGAAAAACATAATACTACTATGATTATATCGAAAGGCATTATAGGGAAAATATAATCATTAGATGTTTACGGATTTAGAATTTGGAAAACTTTTGCTAAAAGATTTTCAGATACTGTTTTGTTATTGTAAGTATTATTGTAAGTATTATGAAAGTAATATAAATTTACATGAACAAAGTAATATAATGAAATTATAATCTTTGATACATAATTAATTGTCATTCCCGCGATATTACAACTTTCCGAGTAGAAATTTGATCGGGTACGCCCGATGTACGATCAGGTCATGGCCAGGAAGTGGTAGGGTATGCCCTAGTCGGGAATTCTCCACTTGGACATGATCAGAGAACGGTAGGGTACGCTCTAGTATGGCTTTACCGATTTGCGCCTGATCCGGTGCAAATCAGGACACCCTTCTCAACATTTTTTTAAGGTAATTCTTACATGGAACTGATTTCTTTGCTCTTACCCTATAGTCTGATTAAACCGTCAAGAATTATAAGTGAGGGACACCGGCTG